TATAGTCCAAGCTTTGCAGTACTTCTTCCTGGGCCAAATCCTCTGCCTTTCTGCTACAAAGAGTGGGAAAGAAGAATAGAGCAAGGTCTGCTGCGTTACAGCTTTACTGCCACATCTGCTCTGACTGCAGAGGCATGGGTTGCAAACAACTGCCTGGACCAAAAGCCAGGACAAACATACCAAATTCTGTCTGCAGTTTATGTGCCTTAAGACAAAGAGACCATTTCAATATTTACAGCATTGGCTGTATTTTGACTCCGTTGTACTTCCCAGGAGCTGCTGCTATATATGTGCAGTATTGCATCAAACTTCAAGCTTGGGGTTTTTATTTCTTCATGTTTGATTTTGGGTTTTTTTTCCAAAATGTGTAGGATTCAATGAATTAATTTGCCATTAACTTTGACCAGAGTCCTCTACAGCTATTTATGTGTTGAAATATCTCATTAATTAAAGCACAGCAAAATATAATCTAGCAGCAAAAGGTAAGTCTATAAGTATCTTACTTCTAAGGCATCTTTCCCTACTACAGCTGTGTCTGACTGTGTTTTGGCATAAGCTAATCTCCATGTTCCCACACAGCTCAGTGCTCTTTTAGAACAGCTGGATAGCATTTGGGGGGGAGGTGTGGGGGGAGAGCAATTGCATGATGTGAAATATTCCAGTTAACAGCATTCACTCTGTAATTATTTTGCAGACGCACAACGTCTAATTGGATTCTAGAACTTTAAAAAGGGATAAAGCAAACAATATTCTCACTCAAATCCTCCAGTATCCCATTAACCATGCTTTAAAAATGCACTCCAGGTTTTAGATACGAGTAAAACAACATGTAGAATATGCTATTAGATGTTAAAATCCAATATTCTCATCATCAGTTTTATATGTCCTAGGAGCCATGAGTGCAGCTGACGGCAGATGAGTTGAGGGACATCAAAAGAGAGGTAGCAGAGGAAAAGACTAAGCAAAATCCACAAAACTTTTTTCCAAAGCAGCATTGTTCAGTTGAACACTACTTCTGGTTTCAGCTTGGACACAATTGTAGTGCAGACCTGGCATGACCTGCATGGAATGGAGTGATGACAGAGTAATTTTTCTAAAAACCACTGCAAACTCACTCTGAGCAACAGAAGCTGAAGACAAACATCAAGGGTTTTTTGCAGGATGAAAAAAGTGGCTATTACAATTTGGAAGTTCACTACCACAGCTTCCACTAATTGACAGATAGTCAGTTTTGTGTACTAGAACAATCTTCAAGCTCATCTGGAAGCAGGCAGCGTTTGGATACTAAACTGCATTAGAAGTGCTATTGAGATTGTCTGTTTCAGGTATACAGTAAAGGAGTTCAGAATCCCTCCTCTTCTTTTTCAAACTTAACTCTCTCTGTGAACCATATAGAAATATCATCTCTGAAATTTGAATTACATTTAAATGAGTTAACTGATGTATCCAGCCCCTAATCTTTCTCTTGCACCAAGTCACACATCCTACAGGGTGTTTCTGCTTGTTTTAAGGCCCATTTGACAACTATGGAAATTTCTTGAATAGTAAGCATAATCAATAGTTCCTGAATAGTAAGTGTAAAAAATAAAGACATGAATACTTGATGGCAATGGAAGAGTATTTTGCTCCCAGATCCACAGTGTTCATTAAAGACGGTGGAGGTACTTTTGTCATTGAACGAGATTTAGCATGCTCTGCATTTTTCTGGATGACAGATAAGAGAGAGAAGTTTATCTAATACCTAACTAAACTAGCTGAAAATTACCCTGTGGCTGGAAAGGGACTGTGGCTGGAAAGGGACTGTGGGTGTCCTACTAGAACTAAAAAGTACCTGCTTCCTGCTTCTTGAAGCATAGCTCCCACTTTGCACAAATTATTTTTGAGGAAGTGAAAAAGTTCTCTAGCAAAGGAGTTGTTGAGAATTTTGTCTTCTTTGAAAAAAAAGCAATTCTTGCTGTGGTACATCTGATACAATTAGTCAGATGTAAGAAAGAAAGAAGCTTTAAAGATATATCAGTCATATGAAAATCATGCATTCAAAAATCCCCAGAACTGATGAGATGGTGTTCTCACACCTTAAATGCTGGCTAAAAAAACCAGAAAGCATTCTGCCAAGAAGTAAATGAACAGTATTTGTATAAATATTTATTAGTCATTGTTGGTTTGGAGTGAGATCCAACACAACAGGATGGATTTAAAACACAGGAAACTGAAGAGGTCAAACAAGGTGAGCACACATATGTACTTAATACATGACAATGACATACCCAAGTCACTGTGCTCACAAAGGATGCATTGAGAAAATCTTGGGAGGCTCTTCTTACAAAGCAGGCATTTTACAGCACCATCAGCCAACCATCCATGAGAGGGGGAAAAAGAGGACAGCTGGCACATAAACAGTGTCTGAAGGTTCACAAGTTGCTGCATTCCATGTCAGTTAAAATCACCACCCCTAAATGTAAATATTCTCCTGATAGCTCCCTGCCTTTCCCAGGAGCCTTTTTTGTAACTCTTATTCTGCTTTCTGAGCATGTTGACAAAATGCTTTAATAAAAGTTTGTTCTTTTGATTAATCACAAAATTAAGCAGCCAATGAGAGCTGATAAAGAGAGAACAAGTTTAATCTCACAAGAAATTGTTATTTGACCTTTTCCTCTTTACCCCGACTCCCTCTCCTGCCCTTTATCAGGAAATATGAGATATTGTGAAGCATCATGAAAATCTGGAAATATTCCCCTCCTCATAGAAGAGTCCACTGCTAAAAGGCATACCTGGTGTAAGAGATACCACTTGGGGTCACTCTGCTCTGGATACAACTATCAGGATCAGGGAAGATCTTTCAGCATTCTTTTAGCCTAAGAAATCCCAATTATTTCAATAGAACAGAGTTTCCAAATGCATAAAAATCTATTGTTTTGCTGTTACACTAGCATGCCCAAGGATAATGATGTTTGGAGTACTTACACAGTAAGAAATGTCACGTAGCTAGTCCTCTTTAGAAACAGCAGTGCTTTACCCTCACTGTTTGACCACACCCAATAGGAAAGTGAGAAGGCAAAAAAGGGAAGGAGACAAGAGGTAGTGAACATCTTGCCTTACTTTTTTTTTCTCCATAGGATTCTTCTTTAGTAAACAAAATTATTGCTTAATATTACCTTTTAATATGCAGAGAGTTTTACTCACTGTCTCAAGGCAAACTGCCAGAACTAAGCACAGAGCCTAAAAAAGAGCTCCAAACACGGATCAAACCATGTGCCAAAGTACTTTTCCTCCCTTGGTTTCTTGTCTGCTGTAAAAGCAGTTATAGACACCAAGCAGTGATGCCATTTATTGCATTTAATACTGATGGCTTCCTTTACCTTGAGGTAAGCACCCAGCCAAACAGAAAGAAATAAGCCTTCCAACAAGAACAGGAATGAGCAGTGTACTTGGTACAGCTATACAGTTGATTTTCCAGTTTTAACAAGCAAACATTAAGCAGCTGGCACTGTTAAGAAACTAAGCACTTAAAAAGGCACATAGACCAACATACCAGAAATAGTATGGCTTGGCCATTGTTTGAAACTATCTTACTAAATGCACCCACTGGAATTTATTGCAGTTTCTCTTTTATTTTCCAGAAGGACTGCTCCACAGCAATCTCTACCTGGATTTTGTATCTTTGACAAGTAATGCACTGGACAAGAGTCTGATGCTTGGCAGACCTGTGCCTTCTCAGAAGGCATACACTAGCCCAGAAAGGCAAGTCCCCATCAGCTCAAATCTCTGTGACAGAATCAAGTGGCAACATCTCTTGCACAGGTTCAGTAACTTTCTCTCAGTACCTACAGCAGAAGCCTGGTGCCCTTCCTGTATGTGATCCACGTAATACAAAGAGAAATAAAAAGTAGTTTATGAGTAGCTGAGAGCTTTTGAACAAGTTTACAGGCAAGGTGACCCAAGGAGAGTAGGTGCACAAGGAAGCCTGGCAGACTGATGCAAAAGAGGAGCTGTGCTGTTTGGAGAGGCAGGGAGAATGAAAGAAGCTCCCTAGTCCAGTGAACTGCTGACTTTCTTGTATCCACAGGAATATCATTCTAACAGTTTGTTCTGGAATACTTTCAAGTGAAACAAGACCGAGGAAGTGACTATCCTTTCTGTAGTAAGAAAGATGAGTATTTTGAGTCAACATTAGGAGAAAAAAAACAAAAACCAAGAAAATAAGACGTTGTTACTATGTAGAGAAAGTATGTAGCATATATGGTCCACCTAAAGCACATGTAAAAGAATAGCACCTTAGTAAGAAATTATCCTTGTAAATTCGGCTATTAGTCTAGCTCTTGAATAATTAGCATATTTAAATCACTTCCCATGATTCCTTCTTGAAATGCATTTCAAACTTTTTTAGGCATTTTAGAACATTGATTGGGAAGTTTAGACATTAAGCGGCAAAATGTAAATGTTTCCAGAGCTCTAAAGTTCTTTTCTTTACAAATAAAAGTATCTTTCAGGAATGGCCTCCAAGGCAAGTAAAGTGATGATACTTTGTCTTTCCAGTAGAAAGTTTCAAATTCTAAATGAAGTCAAGAAGTTTATTTTACTTATTCTTTTTCATCTTTGACTAAAAAAAAAAAAATAGCAGAGTGATAAGGACATAGTCACCTTTTAAATGGTTTCTTTACAAATCAAGATAGTTCTGATGCTTTAGAGGGAAAAATCTGTGTAAATGACACCAAAGTCACTCAAAGGAGCAAGTCTGAATTTGTTCCAAGAAATCCTTTGGCTTCATATACAGAAGCACCAGCACCAGAGATTAGGTATAAAAGAATAACTCTCTCTACTCTAGACAGTTCCTTTTCATTTCTAGAAAAGGAGTTTTACAATACCAGTAAAAATAGTTTTCCTTTGAATCTTCCAACAAAAGATTCAGACAATGCTCAGAAAGAGACAATCCAAGCAGATGAACTTCTATCGTTAAATCCTTCTCAGAGAAAATATTTGGACTACTATCAAATTCTTACCTAGACCACAGAAGCAGGACAGAATATGTTCATGTCTGTGTTTTATCCTCCTTTTCTTTGCTTAAAAGGGTTTTGATTAGTAGGCATAAGGAATAAGTGCTAGCTCTCATTTCCTGGAGAAAAGTACGCCCTTTGTCCCATATGGGCAGAGACTAACAGCTGCAATCTACCTATTCATTTCTGCAGGTGACATCACTCTAAAAGGGTTGGTTCTTCCAATACAGAAAGCCACAAGTGACTGATGATTTGGGACAATAGTCTCCTTATCTCATAGCCAGACACAGTTTTGATCAAAGCTTTATTTTGTATGAAAAAGAAAATATAAGGTTCTCAAAATGAGTAAATTTCAGCCTAATATCACTTCTGATTTCATTTTAAAATGCATTGGCATTTTCAAAGCTTCTTTGTTGTCATTTCATGATTACTGTTTGTCTGCATCACCATCTTGTATTTACTACCATGTGAAAACAGTTTACTTCACAAACCACAAAAGCCCTTTGATATTCCTTTCAGTGTAGCATTAATAATGTAAGCTGATGCTCTGGGCATTATGCTACATAGTTTATCAACAGCACATTAACCACTCAGTACTTTCTGCACAGTGTTGCTCTCCTATATGCCATCAGTTCCTGCCTAGATCACATCTATTTTGACTGAGAAAAGAAGTACCATCATGCCACTAGCTGATGGTGATTAACTGTGGTCTCATCCCAGAGACATCAGAACATGCTTTTTGTGACACCATAGACACTTATTCCCACACAGCATCTGAAAATGAAATTTCAGATTTACAGGAAACACTGCAATTCTTCAGCAGACTCATATGCAGAGTTCTTACTACAACATCTTTTTTCTGACTTTGCAAAATCCATTGTTCTCAGAATCACAAAATGGTTTCGATTGGAAGGTACCTCTGGGGTTGTCTTGTCCATCCCCCTCTGATCAAGTAGGGCCACCAATTGTTTCACTTGTATTCAGCAAGAAGCATAAGAATACCAAACAAGAAAATCCAGCCCTTTGCTACACCTCATCAGTTTTTTAACCAGTATGACAAAGAAGGAAGATAGGCAGTGGCAACATTCATCCTGGCTTGCCTCACTGCAGGCTGCAAGGATCAGTCTGCCTACGCAACACACTCAATCCCAGATCATCAAATCTCACACTTCCTGGATCATTACTTCAGCATCCTTCATATTCATTGTACTCAAACAGGTCCTTTAGTTTTCTTCCAGCTTACCCCTCATAGTTTTCATCCCTGTAAGACACCTACTTTTACTTTTATCCTCAAATTCATCCATTCTTCTTTGCTGTAGCAAGCCCAGAAGATTTGGCAAAACCAGATCATCCACTATAGCTTTGGCTTAAACTCCACTTTTATATACCCCATGCTTCACTGCTTTTTTCAGCAGTTCATGTCTTGAATGTACACTATTTGCACATAAGATCTCAGGAGATTTATTTAATTTGATAATAAGCTGACTATCAGCAGAGTTTGCCCAGCCTGGCCGCTATGCACACAAGCTGCACTTGACATAAATTTTTTGTGAATATTTGCTTATGTTAAAAGGTGATCAAAAACACTTGAAACTACAGCTTCTTTAAAATAGATATTAGAAGAGTTTCACAGCCTAATAATAAAAAGCTTTCTGCAAGATAAATCTCACCTAAAGTAATTTAGAGTTTTCACAGTATCAACCATTTTTAAGATATCCATATCACTGTTTGATATCCAGATCAGAAAATAACTTGAGGAATTTTCTGAAGAGCCTCAGGCTGGATGGTATCAGAAATTCCAATAAATCCTTTTTTTGCTCATTTTTAAAAATGGAAATTTAAATAGAGCAAGAGTATCAAAAAGTTAACTCTAAGGAATATGAGAGAACTGAAATCAATATAATTATGCTAATTTTATTTACGTTAAATCCAAGACACAGAAATGCACCCCATAGCTGTTCTTCATATAAAAGGATGAGAAAAAAAAGTTTTTTGGATAAAGTAAGTGAAAACTGAGTAGCATGTTCAGATTTTAATGGTAGTCAAGAGAGAGTTCAATAAGCATCTGGACAATTCTCAAAGGCACATAGTGTGATCCTTGAGTTGTCCTGTGCAGAGCTGGGAGTTGTGGGTCTCTTCCCACTCTGGATATCCTATGACTCTGATTCTAGAAAAGTAATTTCGTAAAACGCAGACATCTAAAGCATGAGGTCTGAGGTTGGGACGTGGTTGTCCAAACATTTCTTGAATTCTGTCAAGCTTGGTGCTGTGACCACTTCCCTGGGAGCGTCTTCCAGTGCCCAGCCACCCTCTGGGTGTAAAACCTTTCCCTCATGTATAACCTAAACCTCTCCTGACAACTTCAGGCCATTCCCTCAGGTCCCATCACTGGTCAGCACAGAGCAGAGATCAGTGTCTGCCCCTCCTCTTCCCCTCATGGACTGCAATGAGGTCTGTCCTCAGCCTCCTCCAGGCTGAACAGACCAAGTGACCTCAGCCACTCCTCATGCAGCTGCTCCTTAAGGCCCTTCACCATCCTCCTGGCCCTCCTGTGACACTACCTGATAGTTTACTATCTTCCTTGTATTGTGTCACCCAAAAGTCTCCCCAGCACTTGAGGTGAGGCCATCCAGTGCAGAGCAGAGCAGAGCAGGACAATCCCCTCCTGTGCCCGGCTGGCAAAGTTGTGCCTGATTCACCCCAGGACAGGGTTGGCCCTCCTGGCTGCCAGGGCACTGCTGACCTATGTTCAGCTTGCCATACTTCGTAATGAATAAAACATTTCTAGGTTAAGTCCACAATTTCGGAAATGAGACACACTAAAGTTTAAACAAAAAGCTGCTGAAACACTACTAATGTTAAATATTTGGACTTCTTATCAAATCAGAGATCTTCAGGTTTGATTTTAAAGTATTTTAATCACAAGAAATGTTATCTGAAGTTCTAGATGCTTAACACTCCCAAAAGCAATTTATAAGTTTGCAATTGCATATTGTGGGCTTAAAAGCTTGTATAAGAAGAAAAAGAGAACTATTTTTTAATTCTATAACTGCCCAGGCAGGGCAGGGTGGTATTTTTAGGGGGGAAAAAATCAGCCATTTAAAGTCACAAACATAATCTGTTGTTGACTGGACTGCAACTGTGTTTCTTGAATAGATTCCCATGATGCAGTTGGTTAAAATAACCAGGTATCAAAAATATCAGATATCATGGATGGGCACATGAACTTTTATTTATGCACAAAAATATTCCAGCTGCTAAGCATTAATACCACAGATGGTGATTTTCATTACATCACTCTTTTCACAGAGGATGAACATATTCCGTGTTTATACAACTGCACAGAGAGAAATAGATGATTGGTTTTGCTTGTTGCCAGAGAATCTGAAACTTCTACAGTGAATAATTATAATCACATAAATAGCTGTCCCATCCAACATATTCTCATTTTCATAATGCCACTGAAGACAATACTGATCAGCACCAGCAAGAATTCAATCTAAGCAGCAGAATAAAACTACCACTTCATGTTTTGACACAAATTAATAACATACCTTGAAAACTGCATATAAAAGTTGTCCCTCTTCCAAATCTAAGTGATTAGGTTTGAAATGGCTGATTTAAGTTCAAAGCAAGCAGGCAGATAGGCAGCTCATAACCACAGCATCTAGATTTGTGTTCATACTTCCTCCCATTTATCAAAGTCACTCTCAATTATCTTTGAAAGGTCATGACAACTTGGGGAATATTCCTGGGCGCTGACAGAAAGCAACCATCATTGCTCTCTTCAAGAAAGGCAAGCAGCAGAATGGGAGGAACTACAGAACTGGCCAGCCACACGTCAGTGCCCAGGAAGGTGATGGACCAAGTAATCTTAGAAATAATTTTGAAATATGCTATGAACAAGAAGAAAATTGAGACAAGTCATCATGGATTTAGAGACTACTCAGCCCTTGGTGAGCCTGCATCTGGAGGGCTGGGTCCAGCTCTGGGCTCCCTGGCACAAGAGGGAGATGGGAGTCAGTCCAGAAAAATGTTGTGATTAAAGGTGGTTAAAGGACATGGGGGATCTGACATACAAGAAGAGACTCGAGATTGTTTAGCCTGGAGAGCAGAGGTAAGGAGTAGGACTCAGGGGTAATCTCATCAATGCATATAAATATCTGATGTGAGACAATAAAGAAGACAGAGCCAGATTCTGCTCCTTGAGGCACAATAACAGGACATGAGGCAATAGGCAAAAATGGAAATCCACAAAATTAAGCTTAAATATTGCAGAACCTTTATTACTGCAAGGGTGGTTGATGACTGAAACAGGTTACCTAGAAAGGTTGTGGAGCCTCCATATAATCAAAACCAAACTGGAGAAGGCTCCCAGCAACCTACTCTAATTGAAACATCATTGTTGAACTAGACATTTTTCTTCTATCCCCTATAATTCTTCTTTACCAGGAAAATGTTAGAAGAAAATTAATATTTCATTATTTCTAGGTATTCTTTCTGGTCATAGTAATGAAGCACTAATGTTGTGTGCATAGCTGTCAACTCTGTGCTCTTTATACACCTTATTTCATGAGGTCTGCTTTCCACATTTGTTTAGTAACAGAGGGCTATGCAGATTATTACTTGGCTCAGAAAGATAAAGTCATGAGTAGAAAACAAGCGAACTCATGCAAAAGGAAAAATATGAAGGCCAGTGACAAAATTTCTCTTCCTAATATCATCAGTGCATGGCCATGTCTCCCACTCAGCTCAGATAAAAGGTCACAGAGGGAAAAATATCAAAATTTTTTCTAGAAATTAGACCTTAACCAGAACACCTGATTTCACAAAACAAGGACCTAGCTGTGCCCCTTTTTCTGTAATACAAAGTATTTCAGGTCTGCAAGGGCACAAAAGTGAAGTTCTGGAATAGAGCTTCCTATCCTGGAAGTGTCTCGAACCATTTTATTCTTCTCCACATAGCAGCTGCTTTTCAGAAACCATTAAAATCTCATGTCATTTCACCTTTTCTCTAATACATACCATCAAAGGAAACAAATTCCTCATCATTTCTCTCACAACATTACAGAAGCACAGAACTGAACTAAATAAAACAGACCCACTACCCATGTGCAA